TCTCTTCCTAATTCATGGTAAATTTGATTTTTTTTATCCATTTCGTCTATGAAGATGAGGAATTCATCTAATTTTTCTTTCCCATGCGAACAGATTGCGAAGTACTCATCCAAATATCGCATAATTACTGTTCGCTGCTAATTGAAACTTTGAAATTCTCTTCCATCTTGTCCATTGTAGATAGTAGCCAACAGAGATGGAAATGGTGAGCCCATAAGTAGACCATATAAATGCTCATGGATGCGACCGCTTAACTTAAAATAGGTCTCGAAGATATGAAGACCAAGATGGGTTGGCCGTTTGTGTGTACGCAGTCTCCTTTCCTGGTATAGAAGTTGTTTGACCTTGTTTTCGCAACTTGGTCCTATTGGAAGAAAGACTTAGAGGAACGCACCTAGTCCGTAGCCCATTGGATGCATGACCATTTTAGGATTCAGACCGTGGGCGTGGTACATTCCCAGACAATGGTGAAGGGGGGTAGAACGCCAGTGTAGAGTGTGGAGGGTTCTCATGAAAGCCACACTCATGTGCCACACTACATCTAAATAAGCAAGGAAAAAATTGTGATAGTGAAGGTGTGATAGGAGGTTATAGGAAAGTTGTGTAGCCCAGGACAGAAGAAGAGATACCACAACTGTTTAGCACACATTTGGTCAAAGGATGGGCTTAACTTTTCTCTTTTTTAAGAGTTGTAGTCTGGTGTTAAGACTGGAAAGACTCAGTGATGATGTTGGCGAAACGTCTGAAAATGTCCCACGTCCATGTTCCGAGTTTAGAAATGATAATGCATACAATGGACTCCGGACCAGATGCGTTCATCTAAGTCTTCCCACAAATATGACCAAGTTGCGAAAACGAGGTCAAACAACTTTTTAAATTAGGTAGTTCTTATTGTAAAGTTGATTGATCGGGTTAGAGACTCCAATCGGATTTGCTCTGTTCCCCAGATGTCATATGTTTCCCAGATCTCTATTAGTGCCGTGAGTGATTTTGCTCCCATGATCTTAGTGTACATGAAATGTACATCAAAGCTCACAAAAAGTTAGTTTTCTTCCAAACTGATCCCTTTGATTCGTTGGCAAAATTCGTATGTGTTATTCACTTTATTCGATAATATTTCATTCGCTTACTTTCATTTGAGGCAGATAAATTTAACTAATTTCTTGTGTTGGCCCATGTTTGTTGTTGAGTATGCTGCTGGGTTTCTTGCATCCCTTCGTATGTGTGAATTAATTGTCCATCTGTCGATTTTCCCGTTCATATACATTTTATTCAGCATTTCTTGCGGTGCCCCTTTGATTTTAACTGTTGGGTCTTTTGCTGGCAGTCGAGAATATTTTCCATTTTCTCTGTATATTCTTTCATAACCTCCTTTGTCAACTGGTAGGACTACTTGCTTATTTCTTCTCAATCCTATATATATCTTGGTTATATTATTCCTACCCGTTATTTCTTGATGCACCAAGATTGTTGGGATGATTTCCATTTCCAGCTCTCATTTTGCTTCCTCATGTAGCTTCTCAAAGGTGTTTATCACCTCCACTATGATGTCCTTGATTGCCTCCCTGTCGTTCCAAAGTGCA